CAGTTAGCAGTGTGCTGATGCTTAGTGGTATTTCTTAATCTTTTCTGTGAAACTAATGTGCATTTAATAAACATTCGTACATTATTAGCGTTACATTTTTAGGGGAAAATGCGAGTGAAAATACTCGCACCGTAGACCCATGCCTTCAGTGGACGCGCTCCCACCATTGTTTGCTGCTCTGTCTTCATTCAGTGTCCGGCCGTCTCGCGAGATCTCTCGCCATGACCTCAGGTGCTAAATGCTGATCTCGCGAGACTACCTGGGTTGATAGTACTGCTGCTGCTGCAGTCTGCTACCGGCTGTACAACACGTCCACGGAGGAAAATAGCTATAGTAAAAGATTGATTTTTTAATTAATAAATCGATTTTGTGCCATTTAAAGGAAAATCGATTCAAATCAATTAAATCGATTTTTTCAACCCAGCTCTACTAAAAACCATCCGGATTAGGTGGCACAATGGCAGCTAGAAATTCCACCAATGTTTGCCAAAACAACATCAGTTTTTGGAAATGCTGCAAATGTCTCGCTAAAAACCATCCGGATCTGGTGGCACAATTCACGCTGGAAATTCCACTGATGTCTTGCTAGAAAACAACCAGTTCTGTTGTTTGTTGGTCTTGAACAGTGGCCTGCAGCTGGCAGCTGGCCTAAGCGTACATACATAGCCATGCGTGCACATTTATACTGCGCAGCAGCCCTCAGTGAAAATGAGCTCCTGCACACATGACCGTTTCAGTTCAGGCAAGCCTCCTTCCTAAACAGGTGGCCTCATGCCAGGCAGACAATGGTAAGCAGCCAAGAAAAAGACAATAAGGATATTTACTGTTATCATCTCATATCATTTGCAGGCCCCTGAATAGAAGCCAGTTGAAACTGTATCGTGGCAGACTTTGCCATATCAGCAAATATCAAATATAAGCATGATAAAACTAGTGATTTACACCCCTAAAGAAGAGTCCAGATCCCACTGCCCTTCAACCTAACAGTAGGAATTACTGGCAGCGGACATGATCCCTCCCCAGTTTCCCACCTTCTTGCCCTGACAATTCCCAGAGGCACAGCTGCCTGAGGCACCACTGACGGGGTTAAACAGTGCTCAGTGAATGTTTCATGACAACTTTTTAATTCACAAAGTTTGCAAAACAGAAGTGTCTTAAGACAAACTTTACAGAATAAAACACAATAACATCATCAACACTTACTGTACACTGTAAATAAATACAGGCAGCGCTGTCTGACAAACTAACTTCTGTACATCTGACGACACCGGCATAATGGCTCATCAGCACTGTTACTGAACACATCACACTGATTGCTCTCAGCTTCAGCTCTCAGTGTACTTATGGTAGATTTTATTTTAGTAGAAATAATGTTTTAAATGGCTGAATGTGTTCATCTCCTCAAAGTGAATGAGTAGCAGTTCTTATCTTTGCAGCAGAAGCCATGCTTTCAGCTTGATCAGGAAGATATAGCACTCAGTGTTTCTAACAAAGCAGATTCAGATGTTTCAGCAGAGCACTAAATCTGTCCAGTGAGCCCAGACTGAACAGTTGACTAAGCACAGCCTTTTTTAAGGACGAGTACAGAGAAAGCCAAGAGACACGCAAATTGTACAACAGCACATTAAAGTGACAACTACAGAGAGTGCTCGGAGAAACAGGATTAATTCATTTCCAGTTTACACTCAGAAATAGGCCTGATGGTGTACTGAAGCTCCTGACGGGGCCGACTCTGGATCTCTATCAGCTCTCTGGACAACCAAGCGCTCAAGATACAGTGAAGTACACTTTTCACCTACTGTGTCCCTGCATTCATTGTTCTGTTGTTCGGTATACAGTCCCTCTATGTTGTGATGTCACCATTGCTACAATTGATGCAATTTCAGCCAATCCCTGTGAATTCTGTGTGACCTTGCTATCTTACTCTATAATGACGAAAACTCTCTGTGTGTGTGTTCCTCGTTTTTCTCCTCACTGACTTGGTCAATCCATGTGAAATTTGGCACAGTGGTAGAGGGTCATGGGAGGATGCCAATGAAGCAATATTACATCAATTGGCCAAAGGGGGGCGCTATAGCAACCAATTGAAATAGCAAACTTTGAATGGGCATATCTCATGCCCCGTATGTGGTAGAGACATGAAACTTTGCACAGAGATGCCTCTCCTCATGAGGAACACATTTGCCTCAAGAACCCATAACTTCCACTTATATAGATTTTCCGCCATTTTGAATTTTTTGAAAAACACTTCAAATGGATCTCTTCCTAGGAAGTTTGAGCGATCTGCATGAAACTGGGTGAACATAATCTAGGGACCAATATCTAAAGTTCCCTCTTGGCAAAAGTTGGAAAACTTACTAAAACTGAGCTTCTATAAGGCAATGAATATTGCGGAGGGCGTGGCTCATCACATAAAGGTGTATAACATCTCAAGGGTTTCACCCATCACCACGCAACTTTGTAGGCATATGACCACACATAATCTGAGGGGACCCCTCCATTATTGAGCCCATCAAACAAAATGGGGGCGCTAGAGAGCTCATTTCTTATCTAGGCCTAACCGCCATATGGATTTTTACTAAACTTGGTAGATATGTAGAACAGGACGCCTCAAGGTGACTGGAGAAATTTAACTCTAATTGGCAACTGGGTGGCGCTATAACAACAGAAAAATGCTTCAAAATGGCTAAAATGCGACCGATCGCTGTGGCTCCCCCTGTGGACCAATGTTGGTGTTGTTTCTAATGTTTGGTATGACTAAGTCATGGTATGGTATGCTGTACATAATCACAGAAACTGTCAGTGTGTCATTCTGTCAGTCAGTCATTCTGTCTGTCCCATGTTTTTCTACTCACTGACGTGGTCAATCTATGTGAAACTGCACATAGGCATTGAGGACTGGCATAGGTAGAAGGTGACAAAGCTACCAATGGCTATGGACTAGTTTTGTCCAATTACTGAAACTGTACCGCAGATCTGACTATTAACGAGTGACATTTATTATAGAGCTGCACGCGGTGTATTAAGCCCCTCCTTGCCCCACTCTCTCTGTTTATCATGAGACACCTGCTGCACCTGTAACAGAGTCAAACACACAGTGACAAATTCTAATCCGGTTATTATTGAGTCCAAGTAGCACCAACTTTGTGGAAACCACCTCAAGGCCTCCATAAGATACTGACTTCACAAGAATGAGGTGGATGCAAAGTCACAGTGACCTTGACCTTTTACCACCATAATCTAATTAGTCATTTATGCTTAATTTGAAGAAGTTGTTTTTGGGATATCATGATCACAAGAAAGACAGAGACAAGGTCACAGTGACCTTGACCTCTGACCACCAAAAACTAATCAGTTCATTGTCAAATCCAAGTGGACGCTTGTACCAAATTTGTGGGGCTTCTTGAGATACTGAGTTCACAAGAATACGACGGATGCAAGGTCACAGTGATCTTGACCTTTGACCACCATGGTCTAATTAGTCCATTGTTGTGTGCAAGTGGACGTTTGTGACAAACTTAAAGACATTTCATCAAGACATGCTAAAGATATCGTGTTCACAAGAGTGGGACGTACATACTAAAACTCTGGAAACATACAGCATCTGGCCATGGCTGGTGCTGACGCAGAGACAAAAAAATTAACGGAAGGAAGAGAAATAGAAAGATCAAAATTTTGCAATTGTTTTGTAATTTTTCAGAGAAGATGCTGTGAAATCAGGCATTTCCAGCAATCACAAGCACAAAAACAGCTGTGCAAAATCATGGAGGGACTGCTCATATGTAATCTATAGTCAAACATTTTTGAGTATCTTCATATCAAAATCTCTCTCGTTCCTCTTCCTGTAAAGCATCTAGATATTCTTGAGAGCTCATTCTGTACTCAGGGGCATATAGTACGTGCATTTTTCTAATCGACAAGATTTAGTTTTGTAGCTCCAGCTGTTGCTTGTGTCAGCTATAATAAGATTGTACTCACTGAGTTACTGTCTGAGATCTGGGACATGGTGACACCGCTACACTCAGGCCTAACTGGATAAGAGACATTAGCAGTCAGACAGGCTTGTTGCCCCTTTGGACCTGTTTTTAGTGATTAAGCCACGATCTGAGATCTCAGCACTTTGGTGTTGACGGCTGACGGCGCCCCAGATTCAAACGTCCAAAAACACATCATTGAAACCACAAAATATCTCCATACTGCTCGTCCGTAGTGATCCAAGTGTCCTGAAGCCCCGACATAAAAAGTTGTTTGGAAAAACCTCATTTGAACTCTGTTTTTAGCCTCATTGTAGCCTGTAGCTCTGACTGCCTCTAATTGTCTGTGCACGAGACCAGTGAAAGCACGTGAACACACATGAAGGCAGTGCCCATGTCTCACGGTCTCGCGCAAGCGCACACACGTGAGCGCGGTGCCCAGAGAGGCAGTCAGAGCTACAGGCTACAATGAGGCTAAAAACAGAGTTCAAATGAGGTTTTTCCAAACAACTTTTTATGTCGGGGCTTCAGGACACTTGGATCACTACGGACGAGCAGTATGGAGATATTTTGTGGTTTCAATGATGTGTTTTTGGACGTTTGAATCTGGGGCGCCGTCAGCCTCCATTAGGTGGAGTTGTGTTGCTACCTCCTCTCCCCTTGGATCTCTGCAAGTGATGTGAGGACTCTAAAACTTCACCTGAGCCTCCCTCGGCATATGGGTGAGTAGATAATGGCTGAATTTACATTTTTGGGTGCACTATCCCTTTAAAGTGTTAAAATAACTGGCCTTGATGCTTTAGGAACATCAATAAGACACTGGCAGAGAGAAACCTTTTCACTGAGCAGAGATAAGCTTTGGTTTAAATGAACACATGCATGTACTCTATGATACACAGAAACAGACACACTGACACGAAATACATGCACCTAATAATTAAATACACAGCAGCAAACACACACACACACACACACACACACACACACGGGTCTAGCAGACAAATCCAGCTCTAATTACAGGGTTCATTAGGAGAGCAGAGGTCTGAGCAGCCGACAGCTATCCTCCGGGCTCCACTGGAGCTGAACAGGTAAACACAGAGAATCAGTACAAACACATACAGATGGCATGGGGACATAGTGCCACCACACACACACACACACACACACACACACACACACACACACACACACACACACACAGAGGAAATAATGTGGCAGAATTCAATCTGACTCAAGAATCGATGTAGTGCCTCTTGGCTGGATCCATGCACGTCTGCTTTAAGGAAATATTTCACTGCTGAAATATGGTCATTTGGTGAACGGGCTGTCTATGCTGTAGAAAGATTAAATACGTTTTAAATTGTTCCTACATGAGCAGAGAGAGCACGCTGCTTAGCTTTACCGTTTGATCTGAGTTTGAGAGAGAGGAAGGTGGTTCTCTGTCTCGACATGCCTCTACACTCTGTGTGTCCATGGTTGTGGGCAAACAAAAATGTGGAAACACAATCTGTCACTTGAGCACAGAGTCTGAAATTAATACCCGCCAGGTGCGAAATGCAGGTAGATTTTCCGTTTACTGAGTCTCTGACACAATGGCGGGGAAATGTTCTTTATCACAACAGCCATGTAACTGATCACAATGCTGAGTCTCTACTGCATGTTGCTTTCATTTATGGTCGCGCTGCTCTGACGCTTCTCTCATGTCAGTGTTGAAGTTTGAAACACAAACACATACACATCGTGCACGTGTTCCAACAGCGTGTCTCCATAGTGACAGAGTGCAGGTACCACACTGACCTGCCTGCAGTCCACACCTGTCTCCCACTGAACATGTGTGGGACATTATGAAGCACAAAATACAACAGAGACCCTGCACTGTTGAGCAACTTAAGTCACATATCAAGCAAGAATGCAAAGAATTTCAAAACTTGAACAGTTAGTGTCTTCAGTTCCCAAACACTTTGTGAGTATTGTTAAAAGCAAAGGTGATGTAACACAGAGGGAAACATGCTCCTGTAACAAGTCTTTTGGAACGTGTCACAGGCATCAAATCAGAATGAGCGTATATTTACAAAAAAGGTGTTCAGCTTGAACATCAAATATCTTGTCTTTGTACATGAATATAGGCTGAGAAGGAATTGCAAATCATTGCATTCTGTTTTTATGTACTTTTTACAGTGTCCAAAGTTTTTCAGAATCAGGGTTGTAAGAGACAAGCTAACAAAAACTACAATTGCGAGTTTAGGTTCAGCCATCACTGTGTAACAGTTGAACTGGGGGAGTTTCTGTCTCACAAATCCACAATTTGGAGATAGATTTCTTTCTGTTTGGCAGCTAAAAGCTCATTCTGAAATATTCTGGCACAGCTGTGGAGACCTTCACCCCAGGAACACAAACCTCCCCCTGCAACAGCTACACCAATTCTATGAAGGCAGTAAAAAAAAAAAAAAATAAATAAATAAAAATCCTGAAATGTAAGCAACATCCTTACATATTTATATCAGTCCCCAAGCAGAGTCCCTGTTGCTATGAGGTAACCATGGCAACGCTGACGAGGCTCTGCCTCGGCCATGCATGGTGAAGGCAGAGCACTCAGCTCATCACAAACCTGTATGTGAATGATGATCACTGCATCTTCAATAACTGCTGGAGTCAGGCGCACAAGCTTCATCATGTTTGGAAGCTCACGGCTGACAAGTTTAACTTTGGTTCAATCAGTTATTCTGACTCATAACATCATGTGAATTACATTCAATCAATCAATCATTGATTGTCAGGTTATTATATAAGGTGCAACTCCATTTCACTGTAATTTAGTCCTTCTTTTTTTGAGTCTTCTCACATTGTTGGCTGCAGCTTTCTAATTGTCCCTGTTTCCAGGTGGTTCTGGTGATCCATGGTAACTGTCCACACATCCCGACCTCAACAAGATGGCCGTATGGTTGCTTCTCCCGAACACGGGTAGCATCGCTCTGCAGCTGCCTCTTGACGGCATAGAGCAGTAAGCCACAGCAGGAACAGGACAACACCTCACATTCCCACCGTCACACCAGTCCTTATTCACCAGAAAGCACTCGACTCCTCTCCTTCTCTCCCAGAACCCTCTGCTCTGTGAGATCAGGCAAAAGGAGTGACCTGGATGAATGGTGCTGTCCAGGATTTAGCCAAGTTTCGGTGAATCAAAGGACATTACAGTTCTTGAGATCTGGTTGAAAACTCCTGTTTATCATATATATGTATGTAGCAACTCATTTGACTGACAACCAACACTAGTCGCGTTTCCATTTAATTACAGTTTTGCGCAAAATAAATGCGATATTTCTAAAGTTTCGACAAAGTACGATTGCGACTTGCAGGTGTTTCCATTAAAAGGTGTTTTGCTTCCGAGCCATAATTCTCGTAAAATCTCGTCCCGCAAGACTCCACGTTGTTTGCGGAAGTAAGATGGACATTCCGAATCTCTTGCGAGCTGGAACAATCATCTCGGTTGCCACTGCTGCTGTTGCAGTAGTCTAGAACCGAAGACAAAGAGAGCGAGTGGTATTCCAAAGGCAAAGTCCTTATGTGTGGCAGCGACCACGGATAAAGGATTTCTGGGAGAGGATCATGAACGAGGAGTTCACCAATATCGTGTCCAGTGACGTATATTTCCGAAAAAAGTGTTTCCATTACACTTTCGCGATATACCTCTATATCGACGCGTCTGAGAAACCACCTGAGAGCGTAAAAACTTTTTCTTCAAGTGTAGGTGTTTCCATTACCAGTTTTTTATTGCGATATTTAGGTTTTGCACATTTCTAGGGTTAATGGAAACTCACTTACTGACGTATAGATATATATCTACTTTTTTCCATGGCTAGTTTAAGTGATCATCAAGTCTCTTCTGTAGTGGGATTCACATCATAATACACATGCATCCTCTTATCGTGATGGCCCACCAGCAGATGGAGACATGAAATACAATATTTCACTGTATGTAATATTCATTCACTGTGCATGTTGGCCGATCCCGATGATGTGCCGATATCATCGTGCATCCCTGCCAGAACCTGTGGATGTATAGGCACTTATTAAATTACGTCAATCAGTTATTAATATCAGCTTTATGACTGGCACTGCTGGTTACTGGAATGTTTAATCACATGTGTTGTATGATGAACTCTCACTTCCGCCCTGTCTTGCTACTATAAGACTGTATTAATGTGCAGATTGCGCAAGACGAACACCTGTGATGAAAACTGCATGTAGACATGCTCATAGAACTCAACGCATCCTCATTCTGCTGCACACACACACAGCAATCTGATCACAGCATGGTTTAGACCCAATCTACCGTACCAGCGGTGGGTTATTATTCCTGACATTACAGGTAGAAGTTCTAAGACAGCGAGCAGGAGTACAGTAGTGAACAACTAAATGATTCTGTTCTCCGTGGTTGACGGTATTAACGCCTACTGTAGTCTATCAGTGACGAACATGTTTCTGCATCAGTATCAACAACACATTGTTTCAAATCATGTAATGCAGAGGACAAAGTGACATTCATCAAAACAAGCCCACACTCTGGCAGTGAGGAAGAATCAGGACTGATGCATAGGGATTCACCTCCGTCATATCTCTGAGCACTGATGTGGCTAAAACACTCCAGACATGCTGCATGTTCATTCACATGTCCCCAAAGTGACACATTAAAGCCGCCACACCTTTAAGGACTAGTTCAACATTTTTGTAAACGCCCCCTTTTTTGCCTTATTGCCAAGAGTGAGATGAGAAGATGATACCACCATCTTGTTTGTGTGCCGAGTATGGAGCTGCAGCTACTGTCTCACCACCTTAATCGAACCAAGGTACAACACTGGTGAGGAGAAGTGCAGTGTATGTGTGTGGATGTGCAGAGGTCTGAGGGCACTCTGAGGTCAGGGTGCACTAAATGCTAATCTGAAATAGCATCCACCCCCAGGATGTTCATGCTGAGTTTGAACAGTTCACGATGTTCCTTTAACACTTTTTCTCTTGTAAATCCTGGGTTGCCCTTTTGTCACTGCTGAATCCTTGTATCTCCACGTGAGCACAAAGCAGCCATCAACCCCATGACGCCGCCACCCACTCACGCTACGTGGAGATGAAAACAAACTCTGCATGGCAAATGCACTGAGTGACTGTGTGCTGCTGATTCTGAGAGGCAGATAGGCCAGAAAGACAAGGCTATAAAGGTTATAAAATATTTGCATAGGTCTATATCCACTCATCCATCTTTACCAACTGCATAGCAGTATGGTAAGGACAACTGCTCCATTTCGGTGGATGCTGTGAGTGGTTCTGGTCTTGTGCTCTGTCAGCTGATGTCTGTTTCTGGAGTTTATTCAGTCCCTCGTCCAGGGTTCTTGCCAATGAAGAGTATTCCTGTCTTTAGGGTGCATCAGCAGAGATCATAAGGCCCAGACACACCAAACCGACATCATCACTAGTGGCGACAAGCCGCCTAATATCGCCTGTGTCTTGGTGAAAAAGTTGCTCATGAGCACACCACAAAGACAAAAAACAACGGCCTAGAAGCATGTATGTTCTGCACCGGCATGAGGAAATAACTCTCCGTGATTCAAACTAAACTTTCATCTCTGTCAGAGAAAACTGAGTTCAGACAGATTACTGAGCCTCCTACCTGCCTGTCAAACAGCAATCTAACCATAAACCTTCTCAAGACAGTCTGGACTCAGTGGAGTCCTTTGGGGATCAACAGACGTGAAGTCCGCCGGCCGGTGGCTGCTTGCTCCGCTGCTGTTCAAGCGAAGCTAACTGCTAACAGCCACCGCTGTAACGAACTAATCCGTTCAACACTTCAACCATTCGCAGTCAGAAAAGATTTCCTCTAAGTTTCTATTATCAAGATCTATTTCTAACTCATCACTGTCTCATTTTCGACATAGAAAAAAGGTCATTGATGAAAAAATGTCATCGTTTTCATCAGTGAAATTAACACTGCAAACCAGCAGACAGTCTGTATTCGCCATTCAAAAAGGGATAGATTCAAGACACTAGGTAGCCAGTTAGCACATTAACAACACACCCCAATGTTTAAAGAACAGAGCAGAGTTTGTGTGAGGGCGCTTCCCGTGCACTGTGGTCTCTAACTTCCCTTCAACCTTCACATGCACACAGGTATCGAAGAGTGGCCGTTTAACTCCCTTCTTCATTGTTAAGTTTGAAGTGTGGATTGATGTTATTGATGCTAAAGGTGCTGGAACAATGACATTAAAAGGTACCAGATGTTCGATGGGCTGGAGGCCGTCATCAGGGTGATCTGATCAAAATGTACATGCTGGCTATAATGGATGAAATGGTGACTCCATGGCTGTTACTGCTTCGTTTCACGTCTAAAGTGCTGTGGAACAGAGTCAAAGCTACAACAAGAAACCGGTCGTGTAAGGTAAGGGTAAGTTTGTTTTGTCACCCACTTCACACCCGTCCTCCCCTGCCTGCTCCTCTGTCACTCTGTGTTAATGGCGCATGCATGTCATATGGGAATAACTGTCAGAAGGACTTGACAGTTAAAGTGATGACTTGGTGGTGCTCGAGCACTGAAAAAGTCTAAATCCCTCAAGATGTCATGACGAAAGTTCGATGTTGACAGAAGTGCTGCAAATAACCATTTCCATTATTCAGGAATGTCTTCATCATTTTAATCTTACAAAGATGAGTCTGTAAAACGACACAAAATAGGAAAGAATTTCCAGTAAAATGTCCCAAACCATTAATGTTTGAGCACGATTTGACACTGGTCACTAATCAGCATTCATGCTTGAAACACATATGCCCTTATTTGAGTTCAAAGTTCAAACGCTACTTCTCATTATTCTGTGTCGTCCTCTGGCTCCTTGTATCTTTATGTCTTATTGCTCCTCTTAAAGGAACAGTTCACCCCAAAATCAGATATATATTTATAGGCTGGTGGCCGCACCTAACAGCTAACGGAGGTTGCACTGAGCTACATTATGGCCCAATCCCAATTCCCATCTTAACCCTCAGTCTCAAAAATCTGCGCTCCCGCGAAGTGCTAGTGCTGTCCCGATTCTCAGTGTGTTGAGTTAAGGGTGAAGATTAAGGGCTGTATATCCCTTACTTTTGAGATTTTCCAGCACCACACTTGGCGGTGAGTGTTACCCAGAATCCCTTGCAAATCATTGGCTGAGTCCAGCGGAAATCAGCCAAGTCCGTACAATTCATTCAAAGCAAGATGGCGGCGGAAAGCGGTAAAAAGAAGAGTTATAACTGTGAGTATTTTCCTTGCAAATATGAGGTTAGAAATTATGATAAGCATTGTAATAAATTAGTTAAATGTGATTTTATGGATTTTAGATCTCTTTGTAGCGTAAAACACAAACACATTTTTTCGTTAACGTTAGCCGTTGCGGTGCACACAAGCCATACCGTTAGCTGTCGTTCAGTTAACGTTACAAATATCATTTTTCTCAGTAGTAATGTTGTTAAGTTTTATCAATATACGTGAAATGTTTGCACCGACATTTTTGTAAGATGACCGGACGGTGTCATCTACTGTAGCCGCAGCTGCAGACTGCATGATTCGTATCGTTCATCAGTAACCTTCTTCTTCTATGACTACTGATGATGTATGTACCTTCTTCTTCTTCTTCTTCTTCTTCTTCTTTTGAATTGACAGACTGGACGGAGCTTTGGCGTATTGCTGCCCACCACAGTCTGAAGACAAATCTGCCTTTAAGAGGTGTCCCATTTCTAAGTCTCAAGACAGCCCTAACACTTGGTTTTTAAGGGCTAGTGAGATGGAGGGTTGAGCTTGAAAGTTAAGATTGAGGGTTAAGATAGGAATTGGGATTGGGCCTATGATGCGTTTGAGCTCTATTCATTAAAAACGAGTATTGGGTGAAGGAAATTTTAAACATTCTCGTGATGTGTTCAGTGAAACCTTGTAAAATGTACTTTTTGGGGATAAGCTTGAATAAATTCAGCTGTTTGAAGAAAAAATTGGTTTATGTTTTCACAGCGATATAAAATAGATAAAAGAGAGGGAATTATGATATACATGGTAAAAAGGGCTTTGACGCAGTTATTTTTTTAGATCTGTTCTCTCATGTGAGAGGTTATATTAAAGGTTGTTTCATAAATGTATGATTGACATTGACACTCAAATTCATTGTTTTCAATGTAGACTTGTCGGTGAAGATTCTCAGTCATCCAGGTCATGGTAATCGTAAGTGCTATATCACAGGCAACTGGACTTGCTTGCGTTTCTTGAAGACGAGTAAAAGAAGCCATCTACGTCAAGCTGGAACGACCATCGTTAAAGACACTACTTATCCCCCACCTACAATCTTGGGATCCCTCCCCAGACGACTTCACACCCATTCACCCCTGGTCCCACCTGACCCTAACGACTCACATGGTGGCCAGGTGGGTCAACGACTCACATTGTGACTTAACGAGACTCTAAACTAAGACCCACACAGGGTTTATAGCCTGCAACTTCGCACCAGTCATTTAGAACTGAAGAAGCTTCTTGGATGAGAGGCCAAACGTCTTCAAGAAACGCAAACAAGTCCAGTTGCCTACGGTATTAGCACTTACGATTTTCAATGTAGGCTAGCTGCCAAAATTAACACTGCTGTCCCTTTAAGTCTCCACCACCCCTCCTAACACTCCTCACCCACTCTGACTTCTTTGTGCTCCTAATGTCTCCTTCTTCCCTCTCATTGCTATTTTCCTCGATCCGTCCAGCTGCCCTCATTCATCCTCCCTCTCTATTTCCCAGTTGTCCTCTACACTCCACCTAGGTGGTATTAAACCCTCCCAGGTGCAGGTGTCTTATTAGATCCTCACAGGCCGCCGTTCTGTGCTCCACTCCAATAAATCATTCACAGGCCCCGTGGCTAAGCTAGCCCACACCTGCACCTGAATAACAATATCAGCACATAGCAGGGAGCGATCTCATCCTTTGGGATCACTCTCAGCAGAGAGTCATTGTTTGTTCACTGTGTGCTGAGGAATGTCAGGAGGATAAAATGGTTGAATGTGTTAAAATTCACCAAGACTGGTTTGCTGTGAGAGTTCAGTGGGTTCAGTTCTTTTCAAGACGTCTGCTAAATGAGAACAAATCAATTTGGTGTGTTATCAGCTGTTTTAATAAAGCAGTCTAAAGCCCCATTTGGACAGGAAGAACATTCTTAATTGAGGCGTGGGTGAGAGAATATTAACCATGCTCGTTGGTAACTAGACTCATACTTTTGGATGGCACCTGAAGGACATAGTCTTCATTTTCTTCAGCTCTCTACGTATTAATTGGGCTGTAAGAGAGTGGCCTATTACTGTAGGGCCCTCCTCAGACAATTGCTCCATTCCTGTAATTTCCCCAAATTTAACAGTTCCCATAATGCTTTGAGAGCCATAAACAAGAAACATAACGTTGCCACAGTGAGTTAGCTGTAGGCTACAACCTGAGCCCCATGTTTTGGCCCATATTTGTTGTCATTTTGGTAAACTGGTGCAATTAAACAGCATTCCCATGCATGTACAGACTGCTTTCACTGAATTACTCAGAAGCATGATGATTGGCCCCAGCAGGTTCTTGAGTTTCGAGCTGCATCTTTTTTTTTTTATGATTTCTAATCAGATTCATAGACGCTTATTTGCAACACACATTAAAGGTAACCTGACAAATTGTCGCACTGAATATAAACACTTGTATATGTGTGTCTGCGGTGGGTACTGCTGGATAACAGGGGGTCGGAGTTGCCGCTACGAGCCATCCGGTCCCTGTGTATCCAAAGTGAGAGATGTGTCCGCATACTCAGCACATAGTCAAACACAGTGGGTGTTGGCCTCAGCCAGGGTTGTCCTTTGTCTCCGACTCTCTTTGTGATATTCATGGACAGGATCTCAAGGTTCAGCTGAGGGGAGGACAGGGTCCAGTTTGGGGATGTCAGAATGGCATCCTTGAAAATTATCCAAATCCCTCAATATGTCATCACACCATGACCTCCAACATGCAATGTGCAGCCGAGCGTGAAGCGGTCAGGATAAAGACAGCATCTCCAAATCTGAAGCCATGGTTCTTTGACGGAAAATAGTGGATTACAGGTTACGGCCCCAACTGAAGTATCTCAAGGTCTTGGTCACAAGTTAGGGTTAAAATGGAGCGTGAGATGGACTTCCATTGTGGTGCAGCATCTGCAGTGATGCGGCTGCTGTACCAGACAGGACCAGGTAAGAGCATCCTGACTATATCTCATCTGGTCTGGGAACACCTCAGGATCCCCCAGAAGAAGCTGTAAAGCAGTACAGGGGAGAGGGATGTCCGGAGTACTCTGCTCAACCTGCTGCCCCCACGACCTTGTCCCAGGTAAGTGGATGAAGACGGATGGATGAATTCTCCCATAGGATATATATCATCGGAGCTAGATTGCAAATGAATAAGCAGGACCGTTTATGGCGATATTGAATTCACAGGATTTTTGCAGCACAGTACCTCAGTGGTCAGCACAGTTGCATGTCAGACATATTCATACTGTGCAGATGAGATGTACTGTGTGTGCAGTCATATACACAGACCCTCGAGCATGGGCAGATGACACAATTAAAAGGTATGTGCACCCTTCTTTCTATGCGGAAATGGAAAGCTTTAGCACTGTAATGGACTGGTGACCTTAACTCCCTGACCCAAACAGACAGATTCCTGCCCCCTGTGACCCTGCATCAACACCATGAATGGACTTTTGATTTGTCAGGTATCCAATTAAGTGGATTAGCAACTGGCTAATATTTTATTTAAACATTTTCTCAATTGAATTTCCAGAAAATGTACCAACTTTTAATATACTGTGCACAAAATGTAGGATTTAAAACGACATATTTCGTGACAATGTTATATCCACATTGACAACCTCTAATGTGGCTTTTAAGGATTCTGTGTTTTTCACAGTGCTGTAGTCAAGATCAGCTAAACAGAGATTTAGTCATGACCTAGACTTAGGGCAAAACCGAGTCAAGACAGAGTCCAGGTTCCTAAGAAATGTATAGTGGAAATGTATACCCATCAGGTTATTAAAAGTCTTTGAAACTTTTTTCTTTTACACCCTACACAACTCAAACTAAGTATGAAATTGATTTACCTCAATAAAAGGACTTGCAGCTTTTCATATGCAAAATTTCTGAATACATTTGGAAACACCAGGTATTATCCAGATGGAATAAATCCTCAGAGGACCCACAAGTGTGCCAAAACACAGCAGGTATTTGGGGCTGTAATTAATACTGGGGGAAGGGGGCGGAAAATCCTACACACTCACGTGCTCCGGATGGGATTGAAATCACTGAACATGCTTTATTAAAAACATCCTACCAACCATACACAAATAAATCCTGTCCAAGTAGAGCTTGAAATTTGAAATCATGACAAGATGTACTCACCAAAGATTTGGAAAAACAGCATCCATTTTAGGTTGCTCACAATGGCATTATACCACAGTAATGGATTCTCTCACTGAAAATAGCTGAACTCCGCATCAAAGAAGAGTCTATTCAGTGCCTTAATCTGGTAAAACCCTGCTTTGAACAAGGTGTGAAAACATCCTCCATACGCTGATTTTATACTTCAGTAGAAAGTGTTTCAACAAAAGCTTGGCTGAGCAGGCATTTCCTGTTTTAGCACGGCTCTGATTTACCTACATTCACACCAAATGCATGTCCAGTAGACCCACAAGGCCTCAGGAGGTATGGCTTTCTTGCTTGGATCCAGACCTTGGAATCCACACACTCCACGTGTTGACTCGTTAAGTCTTGCATCGTGAGCAGCAGTTTCTTGGTTGAAATCTAAACTAGAATTACCGCCTGTGGTTGTATGACTCCGCCCACCAGTCCAGTGTCTCTGACAGTCTCAAACGTCTCAAGTCTCAAACAAATTCTTGAGTTATGACCAAAAACTTTGTATTTTGTGAGGGCACACTGACCTTGACCTTTGACCTTTGACTATAAAAACTGAATCAGTTTATTCTTCAGTCCAAATGAATGTGTCAAATTCATAGAAATTCTCTTAAGGTGTTATTGTGATACGATGTTAACAAAAATGAGACAGACAAGGTCACAGTGACCTTTGACTGATTCCAAGTGAACGTTTGTGCCAAATTTGAAGAAATTCCCTTGAGGTGTTTTTGAGAAACCGTGTTCACAAGGATGTGATGGACGGACATAGGTATGTACGTAAGGGCAGACGTATGTACAACCTTGTTACGTAAGGTCAGAGTATTTTTCTTTATCCAGTGAGCTCTTTAGCAGAAACGTTTCCTGATGGTTTGTGTCATTGGTTTGTGCTCTGTTCTTTCAACTCAACTAGCATCATGACGGCCTTCAGGTTTCTTCTTTTGATTGCGATTACAGACTACCGGCGCCTGCTGGTGTGGAGCATGGACGTATGAAGAGAACGACAGAGAGCTATTTACTCTCAAGCAAGCGCAGAACTTTGTGGTGCGTTCATGTGCAACTTTTTAGCTGAAAAGCAGGTGACATGAGGTGACACAACAGTCTGCTTTGTCACTAGGCATGTGCCGGTATGAGATTTTGACAGTATAACTGTGGGCAAAAATACCACGGTAATCGGTATTACCGCGGTAATAATAATAATAATAATAATAATAATAATAATAAAAAAAAAACAGGCATCGTCCTATTTTCGTGCTCTACACTTTCATTTGACCGTTCATGAGCGACAGCACGTACCAGGCATCTCCTGTCAGTGCAACGCATCATCACACCAGTTGTTTAAATGTGTAATATAGAACCGTTAAAAGTAATAGAGCCGTTTCTTAACTTCACGATGGTGACTCCGCCCAGCAGCTTGTTGAGCTCCTCGTCGTTGCCGACAGCCAGCTGCTGGTGACGGGGGATGATATGGGTCTTCTTGTGGTCACGGGCAGCGTTTCCAGCCAACTCCAGGATCTCAGCGGTCAGATACTCCTGCACAGCTGGCAGGTAGACGGGGGCACCGGCACTGACACGCTCCGCATAGTTTCCTTTGCGCAGCAGCCTGTGAACACGGCCGACTGGGAACTGGAGCCCAGCACGGAAGGAGCGGGTCTTTGCCTTGGCTGTGGGGGTTCTTCTGATAGCCTAAATGGTCCCACCCCACTGACTTCATCCTTTTCGCCGGTGGGAAAAGTTCAGCTTCGCCTCCTCCAGCCATGTTTGCAGTTTGCACGTGAGTGGATTTACACTGATTACTGACTGACTGAGGCTGCCCCCCCAATAATTGTGCTGACTGCAGCGGGTGCACATGCATGATTTCAGAGTGTGTGCCAGTTAAAATGTACGACTGGCACTGAGTTATTTCTGAGTTTTGAGATCCTGAAGTTCCCATTTATGAAACGTAGTGTAGGTTACACTGTCGGCCTTTACCTTCGGAACGGAAAATGGGCGGTTAGTGACACTGTGACATTCTTTTACCTTGGTAAACCGTGACGCCGGTAACCGGCACATGCCTATTTGTCGCCGCTGGTATTTTGATGTTGGTGTGGTGTGTCTGGGCCTTTGAGTTACAGGGGAACTGCCCACTGGTCCGACAGCCCATTGTTGGGAAGTCCCGTTGTTCTGAAATCATCATGATGCCCTGTGGTTAAGGTCTGGTTAGGTTTAGGCACAAAAACCACTTGGTTAGGGTCAGGAAAAGATCATGGTGTGGGTTAAAATGAAAAAGAAAGTGACAAACTCATAAGCTGTGAACCTGCTCCGCCTCAAGCCTTTCCCAGCTGACCCAGAGCCGGTTGCGGTGCACCATCAAGGCAGAAATACGCCCGCCGGGAGCCGTTCAGCACCGCGGACCGTCAGACTAATGGGATGTCGGACCAATGACATGGACCCGAGTTACAGAGGGTGGGGACAAAATGTTGTCTGGAGATTCCATTTACAATGAATGGCATTCTGCTGTGCCTTAAGAGTTTGAGTCCATGCGTGTGGGAGGGGGGTTAGGACCTAACCATCTAAACAGGCTGACGTTGACATGAGCTACGCCTGAGGAGCTCATTAGCTATCTAGCCTGCAAACTAACTTCAGCCGTGCACTTTTACCCCTGGTGGGTGTTTGTTTAAAAAAAAAACTGTAAAACAAGCTGGAGTGCTCTGTATGTCTAATATTTAATTTCACTCAGGCTTTACATAGACTTCATATAGCCTTTATAAAGGCATCGCCAAAGCAGGGAAAGTTGCTTGCCTATTACCACTAACTGCTGAAAGGTTATCACCTTCACATGAATTATTGTAATGGAGTTTCTGTCTGTTCCCAGTGGCAAAGCAGTTCTCCTGGAGAGGCCACTGCTGCTTAATAAATGTCTTGTTAGCACTGTGTTCTCTACAAGTGAGTGGCTGAGCTGTGTCAAATTGATTTACTGACTTGGCAGTACAAGCATCTAATAATCTGAGTCATAGAACAGTCTCTGCGTCCACCTAGCCCCAAGTTGTTTTGTTTGCATCAAAACAAACTTGTCTCTCAGAGCGGTTTCATCAGAATCCCAGCGCAGCTCTGCGGCTGTACAAAAATGGGTGATGGATTTTATCTGCCATCGATATACACTCTGTACTTTGTGTTTTTACTTTGTTGTTTTTTCTCTGTCTTTAAAGGCTGGATTGATTAACAGTCTGCGCTGGTTGGCAGAAACAAGGGGAGTGACAGACTTAGAGAGACGAGACTCTGGTTTCCAAGAAGCTGTCAGCTTATCAGGAATCATTGAGTATCGAATTTACTACTCACACAAACACACAGACACATGGACATACACACAGAGGAACAAATGGCAAACAGGACCAGCACCAAGGCGCTCTGCCAATACAGCTGGCCACTGTGAGTTCAACCACACAGCATATTTCATTAAGCATGCAACTGTGCACACAATGCAACCATAAACTGAAACAATTTCTTATTTCGTTTTGGCTATAAGGCACATTTGCTGCTTTGGTTCAGTCTCAGTGCTCTCATCAACCTAGGTCCCTGCAGCCGCGGGCAGCTCTGATAAACCCACTGAGCACTACCTGCTCAGCAGCAAACAGCACACAGACACAGTTAGAGACCAGCTGGTCAACATACTGGAGCATTTAGCAGCTAAAGAGACAGATAATTCCCTCGGAGACCAAAAGCAGAGCTAAACCAGAGTGAATGTTGACACAAACACGACTTAGAATCCCAGCTGGACACCAACATCACTGGACACTGACATTTGGATGAATTTAGGTTGTGACGTCGGGTGACCAAAAGTCAATGTCAGAATGACTAATACCACCATCAATGGATGTAGAATACTGATGACAGATTATGTTTATATGTTGTTAGACTGTAGTTGTGTTGTTCAGTAACAAATCAAACGTCTTCCAAACGTCTCACGCCAACGTCATCTTGATGTAGAGTAACGGTGTTTAGTGGTGAAGTGCAGAGGACAAAACCCAACGTCTGCAAAATATCCACACAACATTAGATTCTAACCTCGTCGGCCATTTAAAATACCGTCAACCTGATTTTTATTCCAACCAAAATATAATGTCTGTCAGCCATAAGAGGCCAACGTCTTTCTGAAGTCACACTGACGGCTGGTGCCAGCTGGGATAACAGATAATCATGTTCTGTAACTACTGGTTGTTTTAATAGGCAACTGTTTGCTAACACCTTCTCCAAAGCAACTCTATAAAGTATCATTTGGCTTTTTTGTTTATTTGCAGAAGACATTTTGAAACGCCACGGTATGAAAATCACATGTGCAAAGCCTAATTTATGGTAGGGTGCTCAACACATTGAACAGAAATCAAAAAGTCACGATAAATTGAGTGTTTATTGTGCTACAGCTCGGTGCACACTGCTTTAACATGTGGAGAAATCTAAAGCTTCTTCTGCTCAACTTCCACACAGACTGCAGCTCCGAGCACTGTTGTGGTTGAATGCTTTAAAATAGTTGTTCAGTTTATTTTCCATTATTATTATGATGTTATTCATCAAAATGGGGAACCATTCATGCAGCATTAATACACACAGATCTGTTCTTAACTTCCGAATGCTCAAACGAAGAACCTTAGAGAATCATTAATATTTCATTTTTGAAATATTCAGAGGTAAGAGCTAAATTTATGCGTGGTATAACTCATAAATATGCAGAGAGCAGCCTCATGTGTCTGCATTGTTGTGCACGTCCGTGGCCCGATCCACAGATCACACAAAAATCAATGTTTTAAAGCTCAGTTTCTAACAAACAGTTTCACTGGCTGTGTTAAAATGATTCCACATGCAGACCCCGAGTGCCCTTTGGCTGCCTCTGCACACACGTTTTCCCGCACACACAGTCAAACATGTGCACACAGACCAGTACTCATTTGTTGTGTTACATTTGCTTGCCGGGGGCCACTGTGCTTGGTGATGAGTGTTTTTGTCAGAATAGCTGCAGGGAGAGGCCAGGAGAGACGGCCCGCCCCTGCAGACAGAGACACCGGAGAGAACACCCGAATATGACAAGGACACACACACACACACACACACACACA